ATAATCTGAGTCATCTGAATATAAATTAGAATCATAATTTAACTTATTAATTGATAGTTTTCTTTTACTTTTTTCTTGAGGATCTGATGATTCTGTTGATATGCTGGTCTTTCGATCTTGATTTGGTAAATATTCAAATATAAGATTTCTTTCTTTTTTTGTTTTTTTATTCTGTAATTTTTGTAATATTATCAGAAATGATATTTTAACAGAAGGAATTCTATTCTTATGTTCTAAAAGATTTTTTTTAAATTTTTTCTGTATTTTCTTGATATATTCTTTCAGTATTATAAAATTTTAGATAATATGGTTCAGTTGGCTCAAGTATATATTTGTTTTTGTTTATTGTATAATATTTTGTCCAATAATAAATACTATCTAATTCTTTAAATCTACCATACTTATTTTTTAATATTTCTCTTGCTTTTTTTTCTGTAATATCATGATTAAATTTGATTTCAAAGTTGAAATTAAAAAAGTCTTCAGGTAAACCTTTATAAAAGATCATTCGAATTTTATAACAAGGATATTTTTCTCGACATGATTTTTTATTATGCTCTTTGAATTTCTTGAATTCTACAATATAATCTAATCGATTTACAAATAAACTAAATAATTTTATATTATTAAATTTCTGTTTTGATGTAGGCTTTAGTTCTTTATCTTTACAAAAATAAAAAATAAATCTAATATTTGTGTTTGCAGAAAATCTAATCACTTTTGAACAAAAATTTTTATTTTCACAACTTTTTATTTGAACACTATAATCTTTTGGATCAAGAAAATTTAAAAGTTCTAAATATTTAATCTGATTTTTGAATTCGTTAATCAAAACTTCTTCATATGAACTATTAAAATCTTGCCAAAATCTACTGTTAGCACTTTTACATTCATATGTATTTGGAAAAAATAATGAAAATAAATAATCTTTTCTAACTCAACTCTCATTGCTATAAAAAAATATTGTTACAAGCTTCTAGCATTTTTTATTTTTATTTTTTTTAATATTTTTATAGCTTGATATAAAGTATAAATATAATTTGAATTATTTTCTACCTATCTAGAATTATCTTGCGTATTTTTTATGATAATCTCATCACCAGATTTGTTTTTGACAAATAAATCATCTATTATTTTTCAGATGAGTTTTCTTTAGTATATTAATTATTTATATTAGAGTTGTTTGTTTTTTTTTATAAATTTCTAGTATATAATAGAATAGTCCAGATTTAGGATCATATCTTGTAAAAATATATTGAGAGCAGCATTCAGGTATACACCAAACACAATTTGCAAGATCATTTAAGTTTTTATAAAAACATCTATATAAAGTTACAAGAATCTTGTTTTCAGAATTATTATTATCTACTATTTCTAAAACAATACCTTTAATTTTGTATCTTGGATCATTTCTATTAACAGGTTAGCGATAATGTTTTTTATATTTATTGTAATCTTTTTCAGAATATTCTCTTGAATCTTTTCACTTTGAACTGGGTTATAATGCCATTTTTGAAGTGCATTGTCAGTTTGTAATTTTTCATAGATACTAGGAAGTCTTGTTTAATTTACTAAAATAAAAAATACTTGAATATGACAATCACGTTTTTGTATT